ATTTATGATAATACTCATGCTGAAGTGGGAATTTTACAATTATACGTCAAATGGCTTGGTTTCGTCGCTTGTAAATTATTGGGGGTTAGGTTTTGAACTTTGACAATGTCAATGCTTATCAGCGTTGGTGGCAATATTAATCTTGAGATGTGACATCCTTATAGTTATTTTCAGAATTACATAATTTTCATTCATTTTACTAGTTCGAATTATAACTCAAGTTTTTACTGCAGTGTTTTATTTCATAAAAATTTAAATTCAACTTTTTCTGGTGTTTTTTGTCTCATAAATTCGCTTTCTAACTCAAGTTCTCAACTCGAAAAAGCGAAACAAACAAGGCTATAAATAATGTATCTTCCTTAACTCCCGATCCGACCCTCTTACGAAGGGAGGTTTTTCTCATGTACACGCATAATAATACCTTTACCAACCATATGAGCTTCGCAAGTCTTCACTTTTTTACTTGAAGCCAAATATCCAATACGTCCTCTAGAAAGATTTAGCGTCTTACCAATCTGTGGTTCTCCTACATTTCATTTGGAAATATTTACGAAACCTGCATATGAGTCATGTGTTAAACAAATAATTTTGCACGTGATTGCTATGTAATGGCAAAACTAAAAATTTGTCCTAAAATATAATTAAATATCTGGGATCATTTTCAGCATCAAGGTCAAATGGTTCACACTTTTCTCATGGCCCAAACTGCAAAATCTACATTGCAAGTGGCCATATTTGGTTGGTCGGACGAGTGATTAAGTCAGATTAGATTGTCCTTATAGAAAGAAAAGTTTAGAAATGGGATGACCGACGTTAGCATACTTCTTATGCGTTATTACATCAAATTAAATTGTCTTAATAGGAATGTTCAATGAAGGCCACACGATGCCAAATAAACTAGCTTGTGGCCTTCAAATATACTAGCAATCAAGAATTGTAGACTCGTGGTGCCAGGCATGTTAAAACGAGTAGTGACTTGTCTTGAACAAGCTTTCACATTTAAATTTCAAACATTCGACCACAAGCCTATTGTGCTAATCTTTCACTATGAGTAGGACTGTATAAAAAAAAAAACCGTAAAATCAAAATTGACCACCACCGATCGAAGAACTGACCGCCCAAAAACCAAAAAAGACGGCGCCACGTGGAACCGAAGATAGTCAGTTCGGTTAACCGACTGAACTTTTTCAAAGGCGGTTAGGTTTTGGTTTTGAGTTTAGAGGTTTGGTTAAAAACCGAACCGACCGAATCCATTTTTTTTTTTTTTTTTTTGAATGTGTCCTCTCTCTGGGAAGAGCGGAGGGGAGGGGCAGGGAAATTGAAGAGGGTGATGATTGAGTCATCTTATGCTGGTGAATATTCGGTTTTCACGGTATTAGTTTAGCGTGTGTGTGTCCACGCTTAAAGCAGTATTTTGTGATCCTATGTTTTAGAGATAAATCTAATATTGCTGCAATGTAATCTTGCTATCATTTGAAGAGCCTCTCCCATTTTATCTCATTGGAATTTGGTTCAATTTGTGACGCAGTTTAACAGGGGTACTAGTGCCATGCAACATTATGTGGCAACATGTCCAATGTTTATTGACTTGGAAGTCATGAATACAGATACAAGATTGGTTCTTGTTGACCATAGTTCACAGGCTACTCCTAGCAATGTTGCTCGAGGCCTTGCTTCCTTGTACAAGGAAATTACAGGTCTTGATATTTTTACTGATTCTCATACAAGAGGTTGAATTCTTTTTAGTTTTTTTGTGATATCCTTTTGGTTTATCTTGCAGATACTGTACGTGAGGAGGCAGCTACAATAATGGCTGTATTCCCTTCTCCTAATGAAGTAATGTCAAATTTAGTTCAGGTAAATAGTAAATTTAGTCCTATTAGCACATGTTCAAGTTACGGCAGTATTAGTCAATACATTTATTGTGATTACAGATTTACATAGAAGATAAGTTTTACATTTTTCCGGATTTTCTGGTCAAAAAATGCAACTAAAGATGTTAGTAACCTGATGGTTTAATGAGGGTTACCTTCCTGATTACTAAAACTGAAAACTGACCGAAAACCGAAGTCGGTTAACCAAACTGACTACTCCCTTGTGCGGTTCGGTTTTAGAAAATTGAAATAGTCGATTCGGCCACTGAACCGATTAAAACTGACGATTTTTAACCGACGAACACCATTAACTGTGAGTCCACCATGTTCGGTGTTGAAGGGTAACTAATTTGGCCCTATAATTAATTTGTCACTTGGTGACAAGGATGAACATTCCCTTTACTTATTTCTTAAAACATGTGGGACTCATTAAATTCTCATTATTGACTTTAAGCTTGTTTGATAGAGTTTTTACTTTTACTTTTAGCAAGTAGAAAAAGAAACATAAAAATTGTGTATTTAGAAACTACGGCTGTGTTTGGGATTGTTTTTGTTTTCATTTTTCACGTTTTTCAAGAAAAAAATGAAAATAGGAGAGAAACGACGTTTGACACAATTAAAGATAAAAAATAGAAATGAAAACGATTTTTTAGTTTAGTGTAAAATGTGAGAGAAATGAAAAATGACTTTTAGTCGTTTTTCATTTTTTGTTTCCGTTTTCTCCTCTCTCGAGTAGAGAGAGAGATACATTAATGAACTTTTTTATACTGAAAACAATCTATTAATAAAACTACCATACGCATTTTAAAAATGATTTATGTCTGAGATTGAAAACGTTTTTATTTCTATTTTCATACAAAAAATAAAATCATTTTGGAACGAGTTCTAAACGCACCCTACATTTTTAAAAGAGTTTAGTGCGTCAAAATGTTTTTAAATTTCCTAATGTTTTGAAAATGTTATAGCCCATTTGACATTGATTTTAAAGGTTGGTTTAGCTTTTTTAAGAAGTTATAGTATATTAGGGTGTTTGGTAAATCCTGTTTTATCCAACAATTTCTAAAACTTGTTGTCAAACAGTAAAATTTAAGAAGTAGGTCAAGGGTGGTTTCTGTCATACCCAGAATTCTCACATACTCATTAGCCAATGCATTTCATGATATTTTAGCATCATGCATATGATACATGAACACTTAGTCATTTTATATGTAGTTATTTGTCATAATGGTATGCATTGTAATTTGAAGTGAATTATATGTTTGATATATTCATTATATAGGCGAATGACTTGGGGTTGCCTAAGAGAATGATCCGGTAAGTTATAAAATGGACAACAACTTGTTCTTAATGATATTTACAAGAATTACTAAGTGAAAAGTAAAATATAGAGTCCTAATGGGGCTTTAAGGCAAGTTTAATGAAAATGTACATATTGGTGTGATGTGTGGAAAGGTTTGGACTTGAGTTAATGTGCCAAAAAGACTACTTAAGGTGATTCTAAGGTTGAAATAAGGATAAGAAAGGGATGATGATAAGGGTTTAATGATCGTGTTACTTTAGAAGCCCTAAATTAAGCATATTTTGGCATTCAAGTTTGTGGAATCAAATTGAGATTTTATTAAGGTTCTAAAGGAATTATGGATCCTAATAATTAGGGTAAGAATGAAATAGAAAGTGATTATGTTAGATGTTTAAAATTGAATGAATAGAATGGGAGATGTAAAGTTAGGATTTGTCACGTACCGAAATTTCAGTGCAAGCTTACACGCCAAATTTAGTAGGCCAAATGATTGGCTAAGACCTTGCTAAAGCTTTGATAAAAGTTTAAAAGTTTATTTAGAACATTTTTTTTAAGAAGCCAAGCTTTTTGGGATAAGAGATAAAGGAGTTTCTCTTTTAGGATAAGAAAAATAAAACTACCGGTAGTTTTAATTTTTGTAGCCGTTTTTAACCGTCAGATCTGTATCAGAAACTATCTGTTCTGCACATTTTGTTAATCTCATTTATTTTTAACCAAATTCAATAGTCACAAAACTGGTCTTACCGGTAGGACGACCTACCAGAAACAGTCCGGATAGATAATTGTTGAATTTACTCTTAAAGTGTATGAGTCTTAATTTTTATCTCTTATTCTAAATTAATACTCTTTTAATTAATATAATTATTTCACTAAAGAGATATTAATAAAAAATAAGAGATAAAAATTTAACATCATGCACTCTAAAAGATTATTTATTTCATTTTCTCCTTCAAATACTTTTAAAAATAATTTTTGGACTCAAAAAGTCAAAAGCAACTTCTAAGACACCAAATGGAGCCGCCCCCCTATAAATAAACACATGATTATAATCATTGCTTATATATAATTACTCCTAATTCCTTTTTTTTTTCTTCCCTTTCATGTGAAACAATTACTCCTTATTTCGTAATATCCTGATCATGAGCTTTACAGCTACAGGGACATTATATAACAAGGTCTCATTTAATTCACAAATTTAAATTTTTAATTTAAATTAAGATATAATTTTATGAAAAAAAATTTCACTATAATAAAAAAATTAAATATAAATTTTTATAAAAATTTTTAATTATAACAAAATTAAAATTAAAAATTTGAATCAATTAAATAAATAAAGCCTAATACTAGAGTACTTCGCACAACCACAAATATCCAAATGCAATTTTCCACGCAAAGCACATCATCCATATTCATAATCTATCTTGTTCAATAAAAAGAAACATATTAATTTAATTAGACGTTTGATTCATAAATTTAAAATCATAATCATAATTATTTTTAATTTATATATATTTTTTATAAAAAAAATATTATAATAAATTATAAATTATGATTCAAATTAAAATACGAATCCACTAATTAAACATTCTATATGAATTTTTATATGGAGGATGAAGTCAAACAATTCCACCCTCTGTATTCCAAAAGAAGGAAGATAAAACCCAACAAAGGCAAAACAAATGACTTTTTATCTTCTTTTTGCTAGAACGAGAGCAATGACGTCATATCACGTGTCCAACGCCAACTCTATAAAAGGGACCTACTTAATCAATACTTCACGTTTCCCCATCCAAATTATTGTTCTTCTTCTTCTTCTTTTTTTTTTTTTTTTTTTTTTTTTTTTTTTTTCCGGTAAGCAACTATTGTTATTATTGTTTCAAGCCTCCAAATCCCAGGCACCAAATCCCAAAAACCCAACCAAAACCTCCACAAATCATTGGTTTACGAGACACCAAAAATTCATCTCTCCACAACAAAATATAATAAAAAAAAAGCCTCCTATAATGAAGTCATGCGCTCGACGGCTCTCCGCCGGAGCCGTCGCCTCCGACCTTCAGTTCCGGATCCGTACGCCGCGGCCTTTCGCCGCGGAGGTGTTGCACTTCTCGCGCAATTGCGGTGAGCGGAGGGACGGAATCGCCCTCCGGTTATCGGAGGAGAGGCGTTTGAGGGCGGTCGGCGGCGGAGCGGCCTGGGAGAGGTCGCCGGAGGGAGCGGAGGCGGAGAAGGAGAAGGTCGGGGCCTGCTCCTACGCGATCGGAGAACGGACGGCGAGTGGCGGCGAGTTTCATCGGACGGCGGAGATTGAGCGGAGAGAAGAAGGTCGGCGGAGGGCGGTGGAGGTTGTGGTGGCGGCGGCGATGACGGTGGTTTTTGGAGTGGGGAATCGCGTGTTGTATAAGCTCGCTCTCGTTCCTCTCAAGCATTACCCTTTCTTTCTCGCTCAGTTCGCTACTTTCGGGTAAATTTCATCTCTTTCTCTCTGGTCATTTCTCATACGATTGTTACTATTTTCTTTTTGAAATCTTCATTAGGCTTTGAATTTTGGCAAATTACCGACCTCAGCGATTTGATTTGATTATCTGTCGAAGTACATTGTGATTCATGGCTTGTTTTCGTTGCTAGACCATACTAGGATTTTGGTTGATTCTCTTTTTAGTATTGGTGTGCAATAAAAAATAATTTTGTTCTTTGTTAAAGAAATTAAATTACATTATTGAGTTATTTTTTAATAATACAATTATAAAATTTAAATGATAATTAATTGTATTTTAGAATTTAGAATATAGAAATAGAAATTAATTTAAGTTAGAAAATAAATTAAAAGAGTGAATATGAGATCTCAACCGTCAATTCGTATCATAATTTCATATATGTGTATATACATATTTTTTAATTTTATAAATAGAAAGCTCCTTGTAAATAAATACATAACTAAATGGTTTTACTCTATTTTTTTAATTAGAGCTTACTGAACGTATCGTATTATAAAATTAACCACGATTTTGGACAGTTCCGCATTGTAGAATTAAATAGTTTGATCCTACGAAACATAGGCTTAGTTTGGTAATGCTGTGGATTTTAAAAAAAGTGCTTTTGGCTGTGCTGAAAGAAAAAGTAACTGTTTCAAAAAGTAGCTAAGTGTTTGGTAAATTGTAATTATAGTAGCTGTGCTGATTCCAAAATCAGTAAATAGCGTTTGGTAAATTTTGATGTGGAATTGCTGTGAGTATGTAAAATGACCAAAATAGATATGTTATGAAATTTAAATATATATAATTATTTTTGGTATTTAAAAATACTTGTTTAACTTAAAAAAAAAACCATAATGTTATGATTTTAAATTTTTTAATAATTAATTTATGATAATTAATTTTCTTTTTTTCATTCCTTCATTCACAATATAATTACAGCTAAAAATAGCATAATGATAAATTGTCAATCTTATTAACACAACCAAATACCATATGGTTGCAATCACCCGACCTATATCTTTTACTACTTCAAAATCTACATTTGTATAATGCTACAAAAAAGTAGCCACAGAAGTAATTATAATTTGTAGGAATACTACACAAAAAAGATTTGAGTCTTAAGCCTAATCTGTAAGAATGTATTTACTTTTCAAGTAACTTACTATCAACAGCCAACAGACGAGCAATTTTATCCAATTTGGCGATAAAATATTCTCTCCTCATCTCAACAGCAAAATTACTCTGTTCTAAAAGATGTCGTTTACTCTTAACAAATATGAGGACGCTATTTTCCAAAATAGCATTTGAAATTTGAGCAAGAACTCCTTCGAGAAAAAATAAGCTTCACTATCAGCTCTCACCCTTGACACATGTCGACTTGTCATACTCTACCCTACTCTCAAAGCAAAATCAAACAAACAAATCTTGAACAGAAGAAATACCTACTATATTATTAGCAAAATCGATGATCCAACAGAAGAACATAAGCCAAACAACAAATCCAGTTCTCTCCAAACGCTAAAACAATCCACTGCCGCAGATTATCGCTACTGCAGAATATTGGAACAACTACTTGCAACGGGTAGATAAAACATGAACAGAAGAAAAACTACATCAAGGCATACATCCATAATACAACTAAATACTAAGCCAAATCAGAACTTGCGGCTGGCCAAGCTTGCATCCCGCATCTCCCATGCAGGTCTGCTTTCCCTTGCAATATCCGTCTTGATTGCCCGCTCAATTGGTTTAATGGCAAAGAAGAACTACAAAAAACAAGGCAAATTGAAAGCAATTCATTGAATCAGGAAAGAGAAACAAAATTTAAGATCTTTCTTCCCCAAGAAAAAGCGAAAAGAAAATTTCCACGGGCTTACTTGGATTAATAAAATCAAAGGAATGAAGGTCTTCCCCCT